AATTAGAGTATTATAGCTAAGGAGATAGAGAAAACACCTGTCTCCGGATTACATCTTCAAACTAAGGGCAACCATGGCATCCGTGACAGGGAGAAGCGTCCAACCATGATGTATATGGGTAAGATAGTCTAGCTAGCTACATTTTCAGATATTACACGTTTCTAATTTTGACAGAAAGTCGTTTTCATTTCAAGTTAACCTCTACGGGATCACTGTCCCGTATAAGGGATGGCTGAGCTAATGTGCGCTAATGTGATTAGCATGACTGTTGTAAGTAACAGCAAACTTTCCAGGACATAGACATGTCTTATATGGGCAGAACGCTTAAATTCTTGTTAATCTAACTGCACTGTCCAATTTACAGTATCTATTACAGTGGAAAGATACCATGCTATTGTTTGAGGAGAGTGCACAACAACAAAAAACGTATCACGAAAACTGGTTTGATACATTCACCTCTGAAGGTAAATAATGTACTTATATTCAGTAATCTTGCTCTGATTTGTTATCCTGAGGGTCCCAGAGATAAAATGTAGCATAGTTTTGTTTGATAAAATCCATTTTTATATTCAAATGTAGGAACTGGGTTCTACAGTTTGAACCCTTGCTGTCTCTGGCTCCACACCCACCCCGCCCGGCCATCTAGATGTGTGAAAGTTATTGTATAAGCTAATGATCCATCATGTATGACATTCCTGGGAGTGTGTAAACTTACATTTTGTATTACCATATCATTTTTGTATGTTCTCTATAGTTATGTACTTGAAAATGTATCAATTGACCAATTCGGCACATTTGGGCAGACTTGATAAAAAATAGTCCAGTATTGCACAATGCTTCACTGGATCCATCTGAAACTTTGCGCACACACTGCTGCCATCTAGTGGCCAAAATATAAATTGCGCCTCAACTGCAATATTATATTGTGGCCTTTCTCTTGCATTTCAAAGATGATGGAACAAAAAAATAAATAGAAAACACATGTTTTTTTGTTTGTATTATCTTTTACCAGATCTAATGTTTTATATTCTCCTACATTAGTTTCACATTTCCACAAAATTCAAAGTGTTTCCTTTCAAATGGTATCAAGAATATGCTTATCCTTGCTTCAGTTCCTGAGCTACAGGCAGTTAGATTTGGGTATGTCATTTTAGGCGAAAATTGAAAAAAAGGGTCCGATCCTTAAGAGGTTAAAGTGTACTGTTAGCTAGCTAGCTAGCTAATGTTAGCTGGCTGGCTCGCTGGCTAAGGTTATGTGTATCATCTTATTATTCGTATCTCAGAGCCATTTGCTTTGCTAGTTAAAGCCTGATGTTAGCTAGCTAACATTGAACCTGGTTGATTAGCTACCTGCAGGTTCATGCAGGGAGTAATGTCATGAGTTGGGATTATGGTTCATTGTTTAACTAGCTAGCTAGCTACATGTCTTAACAAAAGACTCCACTATGCAAGTAATCATTTCAATAGAATGTTCATTTTGTCAATGTGACAACTGTTGATAGACGTAGCTGGTAAATTTGCTCTGGCTATCTACTCTGATTTCAGAGCACTCTCTTCTGAGTGTGCCAGAGTGCAGAATAACTGACAAATTTACGAATGCTCAACACCCGTTGAATATGGCCGGTGTAAGTAAACTTTGGCAAAAAAGCGTAATACATTTTTTGCCAGCAGCACCAACGCTCTGGATAACATAAAAACAGCCTAACCAGCTCTGCTAGGGTGAATAAAATAGTCAGCATGAGCTGTTCTCTCCTTTGTGTCTGGAAGTAGCTAGCAAGCTAGCCAACGATAGCTTAGGTGCTTGACTGCTGTTGTTAGGACAGAACGCTTGGAACAACCCTACTCCTCGGCCAGAGCATCCAGTGTGCGCTCTGAACGCTCCGAGAGCGAAACGCTCTGAATTTACGAACGGACAATCTGACAACACTCTGAGTTTACGGGCGGGGCTATAGCTTAAGAGGGTGTGAACGATGCTGAATAGGTGTAGACAAAGAGGAGCTCTCCAATGGGTGTACCAAAACATTCAAAGGCCATTTTCTCAAAAGTGAGGTTACAAGTTTATCAACTTTCAATGCAGAATTACTTTCCCATTGTTCCTCAACTGTAGTGTATGATATACCATTTTCTAGCTCTGAGTCTCTATGTTTATCCAATGTAAAAAACACAATTTCAAATTTTGCTACATAAGACCGAATCGAGCCGGTCGGTCACATTTTGTTTAAGCTGATCTTTTTTCATGTCCCAATTCGTTTTCAATAGCTGATCAAGTTTTCTTGTCACTAAGGCTTGTGAACTTGTCCATCACTGTTCTAAATGAGGTAGATTGCAGAAATTGCATATCCACAGGCCGTGATATCAGCATCAATTCGCTTTTTTTGCCAATTTATCTTGTAGCCAGAGAAGGAGCCAAATGTATTCATCAAGTTTAGTAAGGGGGGAATATAAGTTTTAGGCTTGGATAAAAACAAAAGAACATGTCTGCATAGAGGGAGATTTTGTGCTGCGTGTCTTTCATCTTAACGGGAGCTATATCGGCACATACACAAATGAGATTAGCGAGGGGTTCCATGGCTATAGCAAAGAGAGCAGGTGAAATAGGGCACCCCTGTCGACAGCCTTTGAACAGGCAGGATGACTGCGACATCTCCTGATTGGTTACCATGGATGCCATTGGGTGTGCGTAAATAATTATTATCCAATTAATACATTCCTTTCCAAACGCTCCAGAACCAACATCATATACTTCCACTCAATCTGATCAAATGCCTTCTCTGCATCGAGCAATTACCACTGCCGGAACTTTATGATCATTATAGATTACGTTGAAAAGGTATCTCAAATTGTAGTATATATGTCGGCCTAGGATAAAACCTGTCTGGTCAGGGTGTATGATGTCAGAAACATAATTTTTCAATCGGTTTGCCAATATCTTTGTCAACACCTTATTTTCTATGGGGAGCAACGACACAGGGCATTAAGACAACATCTCCATGGAACCACTATCTTTTTTCAAGATCAGTGCTATAGTAGCCTCATACAGTGTTTGCCGGAGTTTGGCATTTTCTTTGGAATGTTTAAACATTCGCAACAGATGTGGAGCTAGACTGGCGCATTACTTCTTATAGAATTCTATTACATATCCATCGGGCCCAGGGGCCTTGCTGTTTGGAATGGTGCTATCGCTGTGTTAATCTCCTCTAAAGTTATCCCAGCATCGAGTACAGCAGCTGCCCCCTGTCTAGTTTAGGAAGTTCACATTCAGTGAGAAAGCATTCCATAGTTTGTGGAGCAGTAGCCTCGCATTTCGATTGATATAGCTATGAGTAAAACTGCGCAAAGTATTTATTAATACCCTGCAGATCTGTTACTATTTTACCATTCTTGTGTTTTATTTTTTGAATAGCTCTAGATGCCTTTACATGCCTTAGCTGTCTTGCTAATCCTTTATGTGGTTTGTCACCCAGTTCAAAATAACTTTGTTGCGTTCTAGCAAATAAAGAGCCCACCCATTTCGAAAGGATGCTATTGTATTCATATTTCAACTTTGTGATCTTCTCAAGGACTGCATTCGAGGAATTTGTTAAAAAAATGTTCTGCTGTTCGCCTAACTCTCTTTCAATTTCTTTCAGCCTAGTATTGCTGCTTTTCTTCCTCTCCGATGTATATGAAATAATGTAACCTCTAATCACAGCCTTGAGAGTCAACATCCCCTGTGTCGTTAGCTCCAAGGAAAAAAAGCAATCTGCTCCTTCAAATACTGACAAAACGTATGCATCTAAGCGGCACGGTCGCCAACCTGCAGACATATTGTCCAGTTTCAGCACCATGGACAGCGGAGAGTGGTCTGTAATTAGAATCGGGTGAAAAGGTAACCGACGCAGCTGCTGAAATTAGTTTGGAGTCCAACAAAAAAAGAGTCCATTCTGGAATATGACTAATGAACTGACGAAAATAAAGAATAATCCCTATCTGTTGTGTGCGTCAGTCTCCACATATCGACAATGTTAAGGTTTGTCATCAATGTATTTAGAAAGACAATGACATTTGATTGTTGAAGTGACCTTGATAGCTGTTTATCTAAAAGAGGATCTAACGTAAAGTTAAAGTCGCCTCCAACAATAACACTTGTAGCCGAGATATTTGGTATGGCCTTAAATACCCTTTGAAAAAATTATGTATCATCGAAGTTTGGTCCATATAAATTGACCAAGGTTATTGGTATCGAATTCAGTGTACCAGCCACAATAATATACCGATTAGGATCTGAAATCAAGGATGAGTAAATAAAATGAATGTTTTTCCTTATCAGGATTGCTACCCCTCTCGCTTTTGCATCAAAATTAGACTGGTATATCTGACCGATCCAACTGACTCGTAGTTTAGCCTGAGACGAGCGTTTAATATTAGTTTCTTGAAGAAGCACTATGTCAGCGGCCAGTGATTTAAGATGAGAAAAAACCTTAGCTCTTTTCACGACATGACCTAAGACATTGCAGTTCCAACTGATTATCTTTAATCCACCAGGTCTACTCTGTACCCGGTCACTATGTGGCATTTCTTATTTTAGAGCAAATTGTTGCTGTCATACAAAACCCAAAAGAAAAACGTCCCACCGTGTGGGAACTTGTCATGCCACCTGTACTAAAAGTGAACATAAAACACAGACCCCATCCCCCCTCCTGTCCCATTACTGGGTGACTTCCCCAAACGAAGCAATACTTGACTAACACACAAACCGTAGGGTGCCTAAACATAAAGCCTAAACTAACTCGGCATCTATAGATGCTCCGCATATAAACAAATATTAAATAACACTTAACTCTCACGTTAGGGGGTGAGTGGGACTAAAACATGATAGGCTAAACAATGCTATATAAGCAATAACATTTCACCCATCATTATAAGTCCCAATTTCTGATCTTCTGATCAAAAAGACATCGGCAGGAAATTCAAACACATTCCTGGCCTGTATTTGGCCACTTAGCCGGTTGACACAGCAGTTATGATGAATGGCCTTGGTGCGCACCCTTGGCCGGCATCGTTGCCTGTGATCTGTGTACGTGGTGGATCAGGATGGGCGTTTTGAAGTGTTCACTCCCCAGCAATGACGGGATCAGCTCCAAAACAAATTCAGTGGGGTTCCCTTTCTCAGTGTCCTCCTGGATCCCAAATATTCGGATGTTCGGGCATCTTGAATGCGATTCGAGCATTTCCAGTCAGGCTTTCAGGGTTTTGTTGTCATGTTTTAACGTTGTGCACTGTTTCTCAAGGTAGCCTGGCCTCATGATCAACTGTCGTCTGCTCGACCTCATGCACCCTGCCCTTTGTTGCCTTCACAGTTTCAGTCAAAGTCCCAATACACTTTGAGATATCAGCCAACCTTGTGTCCAACTTCTTGCTTAGTGAATTTATTGCGGCCAGTAGGTCACTTGGAGTAGGTTCTGTGTGGAGCTCTTGGGAGCTAGCATCTTCAGCTAACTCCTCGTGGGTCGGCGATGTTGACATGGGTTCGTTCTCTGTCTCATCCAAATTATCTTGTTTGTTGCCTTTTCCTTTTGTCATATTGCCAGACAATGTTTGAAGTTATAGGTGGTGAGAGATTAAGATAAATATGAATTTGTTTCAAAATTGAGCGGAGCTCTAACAAAACACGTCTATTCCATAGCACGCTCTCTAGCACCCCCCCCCCCCCCCCTTTTGTGATGAAACAAACATACAGTATGTGTGGTTGAATTTATTCCCCCACTGTGTGACTGTTGTTTTTTTGTCGTCTTGGCCTTATTGTATATCACGGTGGCGTAAGACAGCTAAGGCATGTACAGGCATCTAGAGCTATTCATAAAATATTTGCCAATCTTTGACCGTCTTAATGCTTACTGTAGGTAAACGATGCGATGTTTAGATAAACAACACTACTTGCCTTGACTCGGGTAAACGAAACAAAGAAATGGCAGAGTGGTTATTTCTTTCCTCAGTGGTTACACTGTCAATGTTGAAACGGCTTAGCATTGCAGTAATGGCCTCCGTTATTTGTCACATGATCACCAAGGTCATGTTGGAGGCGAGGGAGCGCTCTAAGGCACTATTAATAATCTGACTGCTCTGACAGTATAGGCTTATTAAAAAGACACACAATAGTACTCAGAAACGGGCCTATTTGCATGGGTTCATAGAGATGCTATGAGTCACGTTCTAACTGCTGAGGGTCATCATTTTCAGGCTAATTATATTGAATATTTATCGCTTTCTGAATCCTCATTAAGTGATCATGTCCAGAGGCATCATGCCCATAGGGGGCACAGGGGCACGTGCCCCCTCAGATTTGTCCTGTTAATTGTTTTTGTATATAATAATAATAATAATTAATATTATTATTATTATTATTTTGTTGTTGTTGTTTCTCTGTAATACTACTAGCCACCAAGCAGTTTTATGAAGTTGGATTTAGCTAGCCCAGATATGTTCCCAATCTCCCAAACTCATAACTAGCTACCAAGAAGCCATTTCAGGCTATCAATCAAGTTAGAGTACTGTAGCTAGCTTGTCTAATTATCATAGCTGGCATGCCTGCAGGCAGGGATGATAGACTTTAGAAAAGCAAGCTATTACTAAATGTACTGAATAAGACTCACATTCCTTTCAATCCTATATCCAGATTTGAGCAGATTTTAGTGCCCCGTCAGATTTTGAGGGTGCATAACACCCAGATGGGTCCGCAACCTGGACCTACAGGCCATGGTGAAAACATTTGCACACAAAAATGCAAGGCGACGCCATAGCATACTGGAGCTACTACAGTATAGGCCTCTACGTAGAAAAAGAGAGAGAGGCCTAACAACACCTGTGCCAATATATCCTCCAAACACTGGCTTCTCGGGCATTATCACTTAAATTACAAATGGTATATTTGCACAGTAGAATTAAATTGGTATTGTTGAATTAGATTTTCATAATAGCAAGCTAGAACTGATGGTTTGGTTAGCTAAACTAGCAACTCTGTTTGTTTGGTTACCCCGGCAACTACTGTAGCTAATTTTCCCCCAACATCGGACACCCCCTAACTTCGGACACTCTCTAGCGGTTGGAGGACTAAATCACCTCGAGCTCAACATTTAAATGGACTGGAAAATAACGGTAGGTTTTGCGACTAAAGACAGCCTTCTAGCTAGCTGACCACCGATTTTCAGTGCAATTTGTGTAAGTTAAGTTAGGTTTTGAGAGTTTTCAAAAAAAGTATATATATATACACATTTTGTAGGACACGCTGCATATTGTAAAATTCGACTGCGCGACAGACCACACATCATTTAATATCCAACTTTCTACCTATCGGATGTTCTAATGTTGCTAGCTTAGTTGCTAAATGTTGATAGAACTGATAAGACAGCAAAAAGGAAAGAAATTGTAAGCGTTAGATAATACATATCACGAAAACAGCTGAATGTTGTCAAGCTTTACCGTATCAAAATTGGAGTCCTCTGACGGAGGTGTTTTGCACAATCTGCAAAAATGTATTTGGAACTTTGAACCATGAACTTTTTGACACCTATCACTGTTGGCTATGTTTCATCTTACAACAGCTACATAGAGGCAGTATTTAGTCAAATGTTACAATGTATGCATCAATATTAAACTAATTGGGACACTAATTTTCATTACAGATAACATCAAACCAAAAACGTGGGTACACTTTCAGTTATTGTGAAAACTTTCATCACCTTTCAATGCCTTAGCTTTGAAATGTAAATGTTGATACATATTCAGATTGAGTTATCTTTCTAAAATGTTTATAGTATGCCAAGTTATTTAGCTACATTTATTTACCACCAAAGCATGGAGAAAGTCAATAGGAAGCAGTGGAGTGAGGTGGACATGTTCCATGCCATGGAGGACTGCGGGGCAGCGATGGCTATCCGTCAGGCTGCCAAGGTTAAGCATCTTTTGTTTTTAGGAGATTACCATGTGTATGTGAATTTTATCTGCTAGTAACAGTTTTCTTTTCTTATCTACCAAGGTGCATGGTGTACCTCGGCAGACCCTGGTGGACAGGCTGAGCGGCCGGGTGACCCATGGTTGTCGCAGTGGACCACCCACATTGCTTGCACCAGAGGATGAAAATTCTCTGGTGCAGTACTGTATCTACTGCGCCAGCCATGGGTTCCCCTTCACCAGACAGAGGCTGATGAAATACGCCGACAAAATACGCAGGTATTTGGTGTTCTATGTGTTTTTGTATGTAGATTGGTGGACTGACTGTTCTCATTGTGTGTGATGTAAATGTGGATGTGTATGGTGATGCCAAAACAAACCTTTTCATCCTGGAAGGACAATTATATATTCTATTATATTGTAGGTTTCGGCACCCAGGGGAAACAATCCCACCACTGGGGAAGAGGTGGTGGGAAATGTTCAGTAGGAGGCATAAGAACCTGAGAATGAGGAGGCCGGACACCCTGGACAGGGGGAGAGCTGAGTGTGCCACATGTCCAACGATGGACACCTTCTTCACTTCTTATGAGAAGCACTTGGAGGAGAGTGGGTTGAGGGAGAAACCCAGACAAATCTATAACTGCGATGAGTCTGGGTTTTGTAGCGACCAGAGCAGGCACAAAGTGCTGGCTCCCCGGGGCGCAAAACACATGTACCAGCAGGCTCCGGGGACCAAGGAGCACATCACAGTGCTGGCCTGCTTCAACGCAGCTGGGGAGGATGTCCCCCCGTTTATCATCTACCCCAAGTGTTTCCCCGGTGGCCACTACACACTGGGAGGCCCCCCCAAGCCTTGTATGGACGGTCAAGCAGTGGCTACATTGACGGTGACCTGTTCAGGAAGTGGTTTCAGCACTTCATTAAGCATGCAGTGAAAGAGCACCCTCTCCTTCTCCTCTTCGATGGGCACAAGAGCCACATGGACCCGGAGGTGCTCGCGGCGGCACTAAGGGAAGGGGTTATACTTATTTTTCTTCCACCACACTGCACCCATGTCCTGCACCCGCTGGACGTGGCATACTTTGGCCCTTTAAAGGCTGAGTTCTCCAAGGTAGCTGGAGACCTTAGCCATTTTGACCACTCCTACATGGTAAACAAATCAGAATTTGCCAGAGTATTCCGCTACCCGTACCAGTGATGCGCTATGTGGTGGAAGGGTTTAAGAAGTGTGGCCTCTTCCCTTTTGACCCTTCAGCCATTGAAGGGTCCCGTTTAATGCCATCTCCTGGAACCAGCAGCACTGTGCCGTCCATCAGCACCTCCTCCCCAGTCCCAGCCCTAGCTCTAGAAGAGCACCCCCTAATAGAAGGGGAGCTGATAGCGAAGGACCTGGGGCACATCCTTACTGTCCTGAAGTATCGGCTGGACCGATACATTTACATTTTAGTCATTTAGCAGACACTCTTATCCAGAGCAACTTACAGTTAGTGAGTGCATACAATTTTTTTTCTCATATTGGCCCCCCGTGGGAATCGAACCCACAACCTTGGCGTTGCAAGCGCCATGCTCTACCAACTGAGCTACAGAAGACTCCCTGTGGTCACTACATGCCTCACTGGGGAGGAATACATGCGCCAGTGGCAGGAGAGGGGTGAGAAGGAGAGGACCGAGGCAGAGGAGAAAGAGCGTCGGGCAGCCCTCAGAACACACAGGAGAGGGCTGCCATGGATGAGACCATTGACGCCATCGCCTCTGTTGGACCCCCTGCTGGAACCACTCTTGACAGCTGCATCACCACTGCCAGTGCCTCCCAGTGTGCAACACCTGTAGGAGCCGCCGGAGTCTCCAGATGCAGAAGAAGGCCACGTGCCTACTCTCCCGGCCACACCATCGTCGGCCCTTCAACCCCACCATTACAAACACCAACTCCTCCAAGCCATCGTCGGTGGTTTTGTCCACCACCACCACGATGCACACCACCCCCACTGTCTGTCACTACCAACACGGCCTCCTCTGGAACAACTGCCTCGTCCGTCTCCCCTGGTCACACCACTATAGCAGCCTCATCTGGTCTCCCTGCCCCCTGCAATTTGAATACCGCCACCTCCACAGGTAAACACATGTTAAATTATGAAAAAATGAATGTTTGTTATCTGTTTTATAAAACAACAATGAAAAAATTAAAAAATCTCTCTTTACATATCTACAGTCCATAGCACCAGCCCTCAAGTCATCTCCACCTCCTCCAAAACCTCTGCAGCTTCCTCCAGAGGTATTGATG